CGTTGCCTCTTCGTCGTATCTGCCTACGCCCCCACTGACTGCATTTCAGACGAGGTTAAAGATGAGTTCTACAGAAAGCTTTCGGACCTCCTCCAAAAAGCTATGCGCTCTGATATAGTAATAATGGCTGGTGACTTTAATGCTCAAGTAGGTAGACTAAGTGAAAATGAAAGACACCATGGTGGATGTTATGGTGTCGCGGCTCAGAGAACAGACAATGGTGACCGTCTGTTGCAAGTATGCTCAGACAACCGCCTATTCTTAGCAAACACTAACTTTAAGCATAATGAAACGCATCTGTTGACCTGGCCACCTCCAAAGTCGTCTCAACGTTGGACTCAACTAGATCACATCGCCATCAGCCACCGATGGAGGGGTTCGATAGAAGACTGTCGCTAGTTGTGGGGCACATGTTTAGATTCAGATCATGTTGTAGTGCGAGCGCGTATTTGTTTGAAGCTTACTGGGCGTAGGTAAGACGCCGTAAGAAAGCCTCTTAGGGTTTTACCTAATGATAATAAGGCGGAGAATATATTTCAGGAACTAGAAAGACAGTTAGGCGACCATTTAAGCGATTCCCATCCGGAGGCAGGTTGGAATGATATCAAAAAGGCTGTGGAAACAGCAGTGATATCTGCTAGTAAGGTTGACCATGAGGCTAGAATGAAGCCGTGGATCTCAGTAGCATCCACCGATCTGATGGATGCCCGAACACTCATCCCACCTGGCTCTGAACATGATGTAGAACGAAGTCAGCTTAAGCGCAGGTTGATAAAAATCTTACGCATCCACCGTGAACAGTGGTGGGTGGCGAAAGCAAAAGCGATGGAAAAGGCAGCGGAGATCGGCAACAGTAGACAACTTTTCCGACTTATCAAGGAATCTGGTATAAGGAATCCTAGTGTAAGTGAGACTATCTCAGAAAATGATGGGACTTTTATTTATTCTCAATCCAGGAGACTGGATCGATGGGCAGAACTTTTTCGGGATCAGTTCAACTGGCCTTGAGCGACTCTTCTGTTACCCACGAACTCCAGTCATCCTGAATGGCAAGTCGACGTAAGTCCGCCTAGTCTTAATGACGTTGAGAAAGCGTTAGGAAATCTGAAGCGAGGACGAGCTGCAGGTCCTGATAGACTGACCTCTGAGACATTTAAGGATGGTGCTCCAGTTTTAGCATCTAGGTTGACTGAGATCTTGGGTAGAATCTGGGAACTGGATGTAATCCCATCTGACTGGTCTCAATCCTTGATTGTCCCAATCTGTAAGAATGGATAAAAGTCTTCTTGTGACAATCACAGGGGAATCAGTCTAACTAATATAGTATCTAAAATATTGGCCTCAATAATACCTCGGCGCCTAACGAAAGCTCGTGAAGAGCAAACTCGAGAAAGCCAGTCTGGTTTACGACCTGGACGTGGCTGTATAGACCACATCTTCACACTACGAAAGGTCCTGGAACACAGACACACATTTAGACGTCCTACAATAGTTGTTTTCCTGGACCTGAAAGCGGCATTCGACTCTGTGGATCTTGAGGTTCTGTGGCAATGTCTGTCATTGAAAGGTGTACGAAAGAAGTACATTAACCTTATACAAGCTCTCTACTCGAACACTATTCGGGTGAGAGCATATGGCGAACTGTGATCTGAATTCTCTACATCAAGTGGTGTCCGTCAGGGCTGTCCACTTTCCCCATTCTTGTTTAATTTTATCATAGACATGCTCCTAGAAATAACCTTATCCTCGTTTGAATTTTCAGGAGTAGACCTTTTACCTGCTGGCTCGCTTATTGACTTAGAATATGCCGATGACATAGTCCTACTTGGTGAAGAAGCTGATAAAATGCAGAGTCTTCAGACTACCCTAAGCAACAATGCAAGCATGTTCGGGATGCGGTTCCCACACTCGAAATGTAAAATGTTGCTTCAAGATTGGGTTTCATCGGCACCTGAACTAGTGATCGGGAGTGAAGTAGTCGAGCGTGTTGACCGCTTCACTTATCTCGGGAGTCTCATCAGTGCCGATGGCCTGGTGGCTGACGAAATCTCAGCACGGATACAGAAGGCTCGATTAGATTTTGCAAACCTGCATCACTTAAGGCGTAGACGATATATCCGTTTACTGAACAAAGGACGAGTGTATTGTGCAGTAGTTCGCTCCGTCCTACTTTATAGCTATGAAACATGGCCGGTGAGAGTAGAAGATATTCGTAGGTTACTGGTTCTTGACCATAGATGTCTTCGAAGCATTGCTCGAGTATCGTGGGACAACCGAGTAAGCAACGCTGTTATTAGGAATCGGGTGCTAGGTAAGAATGGCAGATCAGTAGATGAAGTAATGAAACTTCACCAGTTGAAGTGGTTGGGACATGTGTTGCGTATGCCTAACCACCGACTGCCTCGACGAGCTTTGTTTTGTAGTGTTGGAATAGGTTGGAAGAAAGTTAGGGGCGGCTAAACCCAAACATGACAGAAATCCATGAAGTTTTTGACAAGTGGACTGAGTCATGTTGGTAGATGTAGGCTACCTGGTTGGGGTCCGCGAGATGATAATAATCGATGGTTAGAGACTCTGAATGACATGACGCGAAACCGTTTTTAATGGTGCAGTTGCATTGATTGTTTGTGTTCTCACAAATCCTAATCTTCTGGATTCTTCAACACCTCTGGTTTTGACTTTCTAAACTTTTCTCATTGAATCATATTTCTTGAATAATATCTTCTAATCCTAACCTCTCCGATTACTTTTAATACCCTTACTACCTCTTCTAGTATTGGATTCGAATTGACAATTATACCTCTGTGCTGATGTGGTATGTCAACATGAACTGATGTACTTACGTACGAAGTTTTACGTTGCATCTGACTGACTGAAGTCGCAAACAAATACGCGCTGACATTAGAGCATGATCTGACTCTAAACGAGTGCTCCATAACGAGAGGCACTATCCAATAGAGCCTCTCGTCCTATAACTTTTAGCGATGTGATCTAGTTGGGCCCATCGTTCGGTGGGCTTAGGGGTTCGCCAGTTCAAAATGTGTTTTTCCTTATGCTTAAAGTTAGTATTTGCTAGAAATAGGCGGTTATCTGAGCATAGTTGCAACATACGGTTGCCATTATCTGTTCTTTGAGCCGCGACACCGTAAGATCCACCCAGGTGTCTTTCCTTCTCACCTAATCTACCTACTTGAGCGTTGAAGTCACCAGCCACCGTTACTATATCAGTGTCTGACTTTCTAGAGGAGGTCCGAAAACTTTCTGTAAAACTCATCTTTTACTTCATCTGAGCTGCAGTCAGTGGGGGCGTAGGCAGATACGACGAAGAGGCAACGGCGAGTGCCGCTATCTTTTTAAGTCCTTTCTGTCCCATTTAGCCGGACAGTGACCAAGCGAATATCTACTGAAATCCAGTTTAGGAGAGCTAGTTCTGCGCTAGGACTTAATACTATACCCGCACTAGCGAGATCATGGATAGCAGCAGCAGCGCTTCGAGAAACACGAAGCGTAAACCGTGTTGTTTCTCTCCTTGCACAAAATGAAATCAAATAGATGATTTTACTCGGATCGTGTATGCGCTTTTCGGAGACGCAGCATTTATCTACTTTACGGGACTCCAGAGTCCCTAGCTAAGGAAGCCTGTTACCCTACTTGTCTCTTGGTATGAACATTAAACACTCCATTATGTTGTTTGGAGCGGGGTTCGAAGGGACCAGCAATATTTTTTCATGATCTCAAATCGTTTGCTTCAGTGGCGCGAGGTGACAGACGATCGAAAGAAGGGTTGGTGGTAGAGACAAGAGATTTGGTAGAGAAAATTTGTAGCTCATTTGGATGATGGTGGTGGTTTTTTGGCCTCTGAGCTGGAAGGAGACAAGAGAGTTATTAGTCGGTGTAAAAAGGATTAGATTGTGTTCAATTTGGGTATAAGGGCGTATCTAACTTCCCGGCTGCCCACACCGTGGAAGGGCTGTGGTTGTCATTAGGAACATCGACCGCTTGACTCCTGAAAGAACTTGGCTTTCATCATGTGACGTCATAACTTTTCTAAATGAAGACCTAATTCCTAGAGCAGAGTTTATAAGGTTTGAATTATTTTTTCTTGTTAAATTTTTTTGGCAAGTTAGTTTTTCGCGGGATAGGGTCGTCAACCCAGATCCCAACCCTCGTCCTTTATCCGGGCTTGGGACCGGCAGTAGCCGCGAAGGGTCTATAGGCGGAGTTGTTAGTTCATAAACTTGTGAGTCTAAGTTGAATCCTATGACCACATCACTTACAGGTCACATCTTGATGTGTGACGCTAGCCAAAATATCTTAAGTCATGAACAACTGGTTATCGGTCCACGACAGCTGCAATTAATATGTTTGGTGGGAAATAGGATGCAAATTTTCTCTCGTACTCAGGACGTTGAACATCTAACTAATACTCCATTACTAATATTCTCTCTCATTTATGTTGTAATATGATAACTGAAGTCTACGCACTTTTGTACAGTGATTGGCTGTAGTACTTGTCTGCCAATATCATGGTCTAAGCCCTTGTATTAACTCATTTTATTTCTGCTTTTGTCTGCATAACTTATTCTTGTTATTTTTACCATTATTTTCCCTCAGGTACAATATTTTGAACTGTGGGGAATAAAGCCCATCCAGTTAAGTGCCAGGTTCTATGTTGCTTGTTCACTTTTTTGAATTTTTCCATATCTTATTCTTGCATGCGTTAAAAAGTGTTCGATTTAGCCGAAGTGGAATTTTTCGAAATTGGATAGAAAAGAGGTATTATTAAGTGTAGTTAAGTCCTGTCAAATAATAGATGACGGCCATTTGGGTGACTAATCTGTTTTAACAGTTTGTTTGACTAAATGACACTTTGTCCATATTGATGACATTTTCAACATTCACCTCTATGACACTGATCATTTCATCTTAATTTCACTTCTATGTACGTAGTCATGTATTTTTTACTGTATCGAAATATCGATCTTCTGTTTTTGTTTCAGTCGATTATTCCTCCCCCAAACTACTTCGAGGTGAATTCCATTCTAGAAGCGGAAGACCAGCGTAGCGCAGCTCTAGTTCTCAATCCATATTCAAACGATTTAATAAAAGCCCGTTATGCTAATAATTCTACTCTTAGTGGTTCGCAGTTGTTGGAGACTCCATGTAAAAGGTCCAATCTGAATCCTCACTCTAGTGGAACCGTCCGACGCTTCAGAGCCGCTTCATTCAGTTTAGCTCGAGTGATAGAAACATGTGGTCCACGTTTAAGAATTCGTCTGGTTGGAACTGATGATCGTAATGATTATTGGTTCTTGGTTGATTCTGATCAAATTAGACCTTATCCTTCTGGAAGTCCACTACAACCACCCTTTGGTTATATGCACAATCATCTTGTTTGGAATCGTACTCTTAAAAAAGCAACTGAAGGGACGCGTTTCGCGGATCCTTCGTGGTTCATCTCGGTAAGTTACGATCTATCTTAGTTTATCTTCTGTTTTCACATCTTTTCTAATCAGAATACTGTGTCTTTTGAATTACAGCCGCCACCTGATCCAGAGGACAATTACTTTCAAGTAAATGACAAATTAGAGGCGGTAGATCGTAGAAATACTCAGCTGATATGTCCTGCATCTGTAGGTGCAGTGAACGGCCACCATATTTTAATAAATTTTGATGGATGGTCAGGAGCTTTTGACTATTGGACTCGTTTTGATAGTCGCGAACTGTTTCCTGTTGGATGGTGTAAGTCAGCCAATTACCCTCTTCAGCCACCTGGACCAAATGTTATACGCTCGCCAGTTATTCATTCAACTCCCACTTTCTTATATGCTCACAATTCTGTCTCAAAAAATCTCAGCGTCTCACCAAAATATCCATCTAAAGTACTTCCTAACAGTTGCAGCCGCATCAGGAAGACAAACAGAATGTCTGCATGTCCTCGTAAAAAGTTAGGACTTACAAGAAAAGTTAAGTCGCATGCAAATTTAGTCAGGAGTAATTCAAATGATGAGACAGAAAGCTCAACAATTCTTAGAAATCCTCACCTGTCAACAAAACAGCCTCTAAGTATGACGAATTCATTTTCTCCAGTTTTATCAAAACCGAATTACAATAGTGTTGGTTCGGACCACTTGGATAGCAATAAAAGTGAACGTGTTGATTTGTTTGTAGAGCCGAGTTCCCTGGATACTTCACAAGTTAATTCTTCTATTCATTCTTTGACATCACCACCCATTGTCCCACCCGTCCTAGAAGAAGCAAGTGATTCTTTAAACACATTTTACTCCTCATCTCCTCCTGAAAATCCTCCACGAATCGAAGCTTCTGAATTTATGAGCGATTCTGCGACTGAACGCCATCGACGTTTCAGTGGCCCTTCCGATTGCGTTGTACGTCTTCAAGCGAAATCATCACTAATGACAGTGTCCAACGTATTACATCCGTATGAACCAGAATTAAAATCATGGAAAGTGGTAACAAAGACAAAGCAGAAGAACAAACAACATAAAGTAAAGCGTCGCAACGGAAATTCAAAGAAGAAATGTCCTGAAGTAAAACAAAAATTAAAAATAGTCAAGTAAGCTTAGAACATATGTACAATAACACTTCCAAAACATTGTTAGATATTCAACAGTAATTACCATATGCAATTCATTGTTGGCTTTCAGTATGTGTCTAGATCTTCACTAACCAATTTAATACAATTTTTTAGCTGTATTATAAATGAGCTAAAAGATAACATGTTAATGTTGGAGTATTTGGTTAGTATGAATTGACAACTATTGTCAGTACTTCACTCTATCTAATTTTACTAGTTGGATTACTTGTAATACGCAACTTAGATCCTGACATTCGATTGTATCGATTTAAATTACCATACCATATTACATAATGGTGTATGCATAACGTGATATTGTATGTCGATTCATCCATCCATAGTAGGTATTGGGGTTTGCATTACTGTGAGGACTAACGGTATTACTTGCCTTTTTAAATAGAATTCTCTGTAGTCAGTCAGAACATTCAGGGTTAATTTGCCTGATAAGAACAAATCGTCAACTGTTTGGTCATTCCATCGCTAATAATTATGATGTGTTTTATCAGTAACATAATAAGTATTCATATAATTTTCCATTTGTAAAATTTGTTTCTTTCTACAAATATGTCATTTGGTGAATGTGTTTATGAAGTTGATGTTGTAGTGTAGTATGTGTACGAGGATTGAAAATAAGATGAATAAACTTATTATGACTTTTCTGTTACAAGCAATAGATGGCCGAGCATTACTTATCATGGACACACGCGACATGTTTATTAAGGTTCATGGACGTCTTTGTTATCAATTAATAAGGAAATGATAAAACTCTGTTTTTTTCCGTTTCAAGTAGTGCACTAATTTTTTTCACTATATTTCGTAATTTGTCAGTTTCGGTTTACTGTTTCAACTAAGCATATTGATTGTATTATTGTGCTTTCCATCCATTTAGAGACAATGTAACTAAGTGTATCTTATTTGGATCTAATCACTGTAACTAAAATTCACAATTTATTGTTTTTCCTTTCACTGCCTATAGTGATAGTTTGACTAGTTCGGTATTATGCAACTACGAATATATCGATTCAGTTTCTGCTCAACTGAAAGGCTTTCCTGATATAAGTCAAAACTATCAAAAGTCAATTACCTATCCAAACGACAATCCAAATTTGTACAAAAATGAAGCTATTAACTCTACCGCTCCCTGTAAAGATGATTCTGTATTAACATGTACTCCTGTCTTCATGTCAGATAGAAATAGTGTATTTAAATCTAAGAACGAACAATCTATTAATCCATCTATCGGGTCAAGTTTAGATTTTCAGTCACATGTCTCCCGTGATATCATCCATCCGAATGCTTGTTACTTTGACGAAATGAGCTCCCCTACTCATGATAACTTATCAGTTGAAACATCTGACACAAATTTATGGTTTTCTGGAAAGTTGGAATCTAATTCTAATAAATCTGTTTATCCTGTGTACAGTCATCAAAATATTGATAGTTTAGATAGTCAGAGTCTAACAACACATCTTCCCTCGTCAACTGTGTCTCCTTCATCATTAGGTAAGTCTGTGTCTAGTGATGATGTCTTGTAACTTTTATGCTATGAAACCTAAAAATACGGTAAAAACTTATCTTAACTCTATATCGAACACAAGATCCCTAGTTTTCATTTCTATCACTTTTAGCAGGAGGATAGGAGTGATTTGCACTTTTTTCGTTAAACTATTATGGTAAATTTTTAATTATTAAAACTATGAATACATCATTGTTAGACCACCATTAGGAACCTAGAAGCATTGGACGGCCGTTTCGTCCTGGTATGACACTCATCAGCAGTGCACATCCACGACTCCCGCAACTCCTTCAGTCAACCTGAATAGCTAATTGATGTAAGTCATCTGACTCTTAATGAAGTTGAAGAAGCTACAGAAAATCTGAAGCGCGGGAGAGCAGCAGGGCCTGACAGACATACCCTAGAGATTTTTAAGGATGGTGGTCCAGTTTTAGCAGTAAGATTGACTGAGATCCTAACTAGAATATGGGAACTGGGCATAATCCCATCTGACTGATCTCAATCACTGATTGTCCCAGTCTATAAGAAACGACAAATGTCCTCTTGTGACAATCATAGAGTAACCAGTTTAACTAATATAATGTATAGATTATTAGCCTCGATAATACTTCGACACCTAACTAATTTTGTTGTAGACCTCGTTCCAGATATAACATAATCTTCACCTGACTTTTCAGGAGTGGACCTTCTACCAGAAGATACACTGGTTGACTTAGAATATGCCGATGACTTAGTTCTATTTTAATGAAGACGCTGACATAATGCAGAATCTTCTGACTACCCTAAGCAACAATACAAGCTCGATTGGCTTTTGCAAATTTACGTCACTTATAGCGTAGACGAGATATCCGTTTGCGGACCAAAGGACGAGTATACTGTGAAGTAGTTCACTCCGTCCTACTTTATAGCTATGAAACATGGCCGGTAAGAGTAGAAGATATTCGTAGGTAATTAGTATTCGATCATTGGTACATTCGAAGGATTGCTCTTATATCCTGGGACTACCGAGTAAGCAATGCTATCGTTAGGAAACGAGCACTAGGTAGGGATGGCAGATCAATAGATGAAGTAGTGAAGCTTCATCAGCTGAAGTGGTTGCGACATCTGTTACGTGTGTCCAACCACCGACTCTCTCGACGAGCTATGTTTTGTAGTGCAGGAGAAGGTTGGAAGAAAGCTAGGGGCGGCCAGACCAAAACATGGCAGAAATTCATAAAGTCACTGACAAGTGGACTGAGTCATGTTGGTAGATGTAGGCTACCTGGTTGGGGTCCGCGAGATGATAGTGACCGATGATTAGCGACCCTGAATGACATGGCTCAAAACCGTTTGCAATGGCTCAGGTTCACTCATTGTTTGTGTTCTCACAAATCCTAGGCTTCTGAATTTCTCGTTACCTCTATCTTTCTCTCTCTAAAGTTATCTCACTGAATCACACTTCTTGAGTAATTTCTTTGAATCCTAATCTTCTCCATTACCGCTAATACTTCTACTACATCTACCACTGAGATTCGAAGTGACGATTGCTTCTTTTTTCTAGTGTGGTATGGCAACCTGAACCTATTGTCGTACGTACGAAGTTCTACGTTGTTACTGAGTGACTGACTGATTACCGCATATGACAGGATCCCAAGCCGAGACCTTCGATCTTGCCTTCGATTGCTTATCATATTGAAGACCTGCCCGGCATCCGATGGTGTTGATGTCTAACTGAAATCAATCTATGGATTTTCCTCATCCTCCGGCGGTTACTGCCTAAATTTGACAGCGTTTACTGTACTGTTCACGTCTGCTCACTAGAGCTCCAAACATTTTCTCATGAATCTAGTCTCTAGTGAGCACATTGTTTGTTTAATCATTGTATGTTTATGGAGGTTGAAAGGTAGTAACTACCGGAGATAAAATAGTGAGGTCTTGCGGAATCCTTAGATTGATCTGAGTTAAATATTATTAACTTTGAACGTTATTCCAGTGATCCAGAGGTTAGGCGTTCGCGCGCAAGACCGAAGGTCCTGGGTTTGAATCCTGTGAGTTTCAGAAGTGAATGTGTACTGCTGATTAGTCTCATACCAAGACAAAGCTTCCAGTGCTTCCAGGTTTCTAATGGTGGTCCAGCAATGATGATGATTTCAGCAATAAACAACAATCTCCATAACTCTGTAGTGTGCCCGATGGCTGCGCGTTCTTAAGCTCTGTTTATAAATCAGAAGATGAACTCCAAGTATCGTATACGTTATTCGAGGCACACCACAAATCGAATTGGAGAAGGCTAAGAGCCAACTCTTTGGATTACAATGCAAGCGAATGAGTGAAGCGAATAGGAGAAGGCTGTTGAGCCAACTCAAAGAGATAGAGTATGACTAAGAATATATAGTCAGATAAGAATAAGACAGACATATGACAAGCGAAAGAGATATGCACACACATGAATAAAAGCGACGAATGATTGATAAGGTCAAATGCAAGCGATACAAATCATGTGAGCTCATGGGAATATTACGAGATTAACATTAAAGCGAAAAGGATGAGTAAGTGCGTAAGCGTAAGCAATGCTCAGTCGTACAAGCTCATACAAAGCAGATAATAAAAAATACCAATGGTGCATATGAGTTGTTGCTATACAAATGGCTTGGTTACATAAATTAATCGAAAGGGCTTAACCAATTTAGATGTGAGAGAACTGAAATATATGTGGAGGCACTACAACTCTAGCTGAAAACACTTTTTAATTGTCTCTCCTGAACATATAATTTTTAACGTGGTTGAGAAAGTCATTTTACTTTTGAACATTTATAAATAGTAATGTTCATTTTCAAGTGTTCTCTAAATTAACGTATTTTGCTTTAATACAAGGAGTTTCAAAAAGCTATTCCTTCTGTTCTCTATGTTACTGTAAAGGTATTTTTAATTCAGATACCACGATAAACTTCTCACCTCCTATAATATCATACTTTATTTTGTTAATCTATTTGAGGGTTTAGCTTGAGGCCCGATTTCTAACACTTCCTTAATTTTAGTTTCTTAGTTGCTACCCCTATTTCTAATAATCTCCGTGGTGTTCTGCCTATTAAAATGGTTCAGTTACAATATATTATTGTAAAAATTGATTTGATCTACATCCAGTATTGTGTTTGTTCTTGCGAACTGTTAAGTTTGGGATGTTCGAACAGTCATGGGATTTTCTCATGATTAGATGTGTTTACAAAAATTACGTTCACTCATTCTTTCTCGTAAAATAAACCAAAGGGGTCGGATACATATTGCCAATGTATATATATATATATATATATATACTCTTAACCATTACAGTGAGTCAGAAGAACAATATTTCAAACCTCAATTATGCTTAAGTAACTTGTGGTGGTGGTGGTGTTAGCTTGATATTGGACATAATTGGTGCGATATTTGACATTGGCGAAATGATTTGATAAAGTTGTGTAAATCTTAATGTTGGTGTATTTTAGACGTATGCAGTGATGACTAAAATATGACTATAAAATAAAAAAATAAAATGTAGTTCAATACTTTACAAAATTTCATGCAGACACTAATTGTCGATTGTTTGGTACATTCAAAACTCTTCTATAGTTAGGACTACAGATATCTTCCAAGATAAAATTATGAATAGGTACTTCAGGTGATTTGTCATCCAAATATATTTTACAGACATATATCAACGTTATCATTCATATCAAAAATTAGCAAATAATGAAAAAAAGATGTATTTAATTAAGATGTTTATATTATTATTTGCACAGTTGTTTTACTATATTATGGATCGACTTATGGAAAAGCTGTATTCTCTCAATTCATGTCTCAGATATCTTATTATTGCTGGTGACTTTTCACAATAACTGATCCAATATCATAATGAGTACTCTACGTTTAACTCCGATAAGGCCTATTTGTTTATTCGTCTGCATCCAGCTGTCAGTCACTTCAAGTCAATTGAAATATATTGGTCGAAAATTTGCTGGCAATAATTAACTTATCAAAATTATGTATCAGACAACTAAGAAGAGGCATTTCATTCATCAGTTTTAACTGTTTGTGTATAAAATTTCAGATTTAGGATCGTTTCCTTTTCCTAATCCTACTCAGTGGACCATTGAAGAAGTGTATAACTACATTACGGCTCGTGATGCCACTCTCCTTGAAGCAGCGGAAAAATTCAAACATCATGTACGTCTTTGTTAAACCTCTGATGCCGTCTGTTTTTTCCTTGTTTATTCCCATAGCTCACACCAAAGTGGGTTGTTCTTTTTTTCAAGTAGTCACTGTTTCTCACGTTTCTCGTGACTTTTTCTCATCACAGACAATGCTTCGTGTGTGAGAATCCAGAAATCCTATGAAGTCGAGTGACATTTGCCATATTGTTACTAGATTTAAGACTTCAATGGCGTTTCCAATCATCCTTGTACAGTAAATCTGACACAGAAAACAAAACTACCTCTTCATTTTAAGGTGTACATATCGAATCATTTAGCCGTGCAGTTTTAATTTTTTCAGAAATACAGGTGGTTCAACAATCACTACAATTCCTTTTGTCCCGTCCAGACGCATTGTCGCTCACAAGTTTAATATAATAATTCGATGTATTAGATACCGGATTTCGAATGTATAATGTTTTACCAGTACTAGCTTATCACCAGCCGTGAACATACAGTTAAAACACATACTTTTCAGTCTAATTTAATACAATTTTTTAGCTGTATTATAAATGAGCTAAAAGATAACATGTTAATGTTGGAGTATTTGGTTAGTATGAATTGACAACTATTGTCAGTGCTTCACTTTATCTAATTTTACTAGTTGGATTACTTGTAATACGCAACTTAGATCCTGACATTCGATTGTATCGATTTAAATTACCATACCATATTACATAATGGTGTATGCATAACGTGATATTGTATGTCGATTCATCCATCCATAGTAGGTATTGGGGTTTGCATTACTGTGAGGACTAACGGTATTACTTGCCTTTTTAAATAGAATTGTCTGAAGTCAGTCAGAACATTCAGGGTTAATTTGCCTGATAAGAACAAATCGTCAACTGTTTGGTCATTCCATCGCTAATAATTATGATGTGTTTTATCAGTAACATAATAAGTATTCATATAATTTTCCATTTGTAAAATTTGTTTCTTTCTACAAATATGTCATTTGGTGAATGTGTTTATGAAGTTGATGTTGTAGTGTAGTATGTGTACGAGGATTGAAAATAAGATGAATAAACTTATTATGACTTTTCTGTTTCAGGAAATAGATGGTCAAGCCCTGCTTCTCCTTAGCATGGAATCGCTGCGAAATTATATGAAAATTAAATTGGGTCCGGCTTTAAAAATGGTTCATCTTATCAGTCGACTAAAACGTGGGCTGTTGTAACTTTGTTAGTCCGTTTCTGTTTTCCTTTTGGTGCTTTATATTTCATTTACTAGATCCAAACTATGACGGTATGTAGATGACTAATTTCCCTATATTTTCCCTGAGCTATGTATGAATCAGTGTTTTCAAACTATTTTCTTAATACCCTGACGGACAAATCCTTGACAAGTTTATGTAGTCGAATTCATTTGATTAATACAACTGACATAATTCTTCTTGTGAAAAAAACTATTTTTTTCAATAAAGATGATTGTACTACTGAAAAATTAAACGTTTTATTTTTTTCCTTATATCAGTTTTAAGCGTCATTGACGAATCTCAATCTCTTTTGTTTACAGATGTAGAGAATCATATGTTTTCCAAATCGGATAAATATCTTATACGTTTATTAATTTTCACTCTGCGTGTATATTGTGTAAAACAAAAAAATTTGTACACATAAGTGACTCAAAATCCTATATTTTATACTATATACTATCCACAACTCATAGAAAGCGCAAAATACATTAGTAGAATGCATTTTATATAATTCGGCTGCATAAAATATTAAACTAGATATTAGTTAGTTGGGTGCCGTTTTGTCTTTCGGCTTTGAAATAGTTGTTAATATATGTAGCAACTCCGCATCACGTCTGGTTTACCATGTCGAGTCGAAAGTTTGTCATGCCGTGTAAGCTCAGTTCATGGTCTACAATGTCGTGAGGTAGCCATATTTCACTTAGGGTTATGATCTTCAGCTTCATCTGAAAGTACATATTCCTGATCTCTTCCAGTTCTGTAAGAACTAGCCTCTGCAGGCTTTTTGTTTGCGTACTGTATTAAACCGTTGTCACCATGACCTTCGTGTCTTATGCCGTGAGGTGTTGATCAAGGTTGACTGTCATTATTGTGCGCATATTTTGGGCTCCCTGTTTTTGTCTTCAGATCTAGGTTGGCTCTCGCAACATCTAATGTGATTAGGGAGATCTTTCTTCACTCTGTGCCCAGTCAAAATCGCTTCAGTTGGGTCCTCCAGTTTACCTAATCTCACAGAGGTCGAAACTTGATAGTCGTGAGATGTGGTGTCTCAGAAAACGGGCGAATCTAGTTGCCGCGGTCATGTATAGTCTATCCCATTCTTGCAATTTGTCAGAGTGAGAATCACCCAAGCTACTACAGAGCAGCTAAGCTTCGAATCGACGGAGACGCTTTAACCGACAGTGTCAAATATGTGGGGAGGATTTCTTCGGCGAATTTCTCCGAGGATGAAGATTAAATGAACATATTGGTGTCATGCAGGTAAAGATTTCACCCTCTTAAACACGACACAGTTGGAAAACACATCTAATGTCTTCGAACATTGTGAAGTATTCATCCCAATATTCTTAGCTAAAGAGGACGTACAACAAACTAAACGACGAAGCAGTAATATAACGCTGTTCTCGGTTCTACATTTCTTCAATCATTTCGTATGTCGGTTGATGAAAAAGTGTGAAGACATTATCTTAATAGCGAGCTGACACTAAACCAAGGTGGTTCCAGCATTTTGACCTGTTACCAACCACGATAGACTGAAGTCAGTACTTTGAGTTCTTTATCACCATTCTCCAATCATAGTCGACGCTGAATGACGGATCAGTGACACTCACATCAGATTCATCATGAGGTATTTTCCTTTCCCAATCTATTCTCCAGAATGTAGCCTCTCTGGAATTTCAGTTTTACACACGTGTATTGGGACGGTATGATGCGCTGGCTACCAGGTAGTGGTGGACCCAGGAATGTGGTCGTTTAACAGTGTGGCTTGATTGTATGACTGCACAAGTTAGGCAGTCGCACTGTCAATCATCTCTAGTGCATTGGGACTGTCAGTTGAACACCGTTTGTAATTTCGCATCGATTGTAGTCGAGGTCACATCCCGCGGTTAATAGCTGACGTGCATCAGTCTTCCGTTGTGTGACTTTGACGACTATGTAGACAAAACATTTGACGTTATGGCTGAAACGTATCAGGAAGAGTAGCTAAAGAGTACAGAATGTAACCAGTCCCACATGGGGTTCCACTGATTGATACGAGTTGGTTGATGTTATTGAAAATCGCTAAACTACTGGACATTGAGTAGCCTGCCCACTAGACGACTCAGTTCAGTCAGTCATTCAGTTGCAACGTAGAACTTCGTACGTATGTACATAAGTTCATGATGCCATACCACAGCACAGAGACGCAAATGTCAAATCAAATCCCATAGTGATAGAGATAGTAGAGGTATTAACGGTAATGAAGAAGATTAGGGAGCGAAGATTTGATTCCAGAAGTAGAATTAAGTGAAATAAGTTTAGAAAGACAAAGGTAGAGGTGCTGATGAATCCAGAAGATTAGGATTTGAGAGAGCTCGAGGAATGGATGCACTTGCGTCATTGCAAGCGATTTTGTGCCATGTCGTTCAAGGTCTCTAACCATTAGTGAAATTCGTCTCGCGGAACCCAACCAGGTAGTCGACCTACCAACATGACTCAGTCCACTTGTCAGTGACTTCATGGATTTGTGCCATGTTTTGGTCTGGCCACCCCTAGCTTTCTTCCAACCTACTCCTACACCACAAAACATAGCTCGTCGACAGAATTGCGTACTCGGTTGTCCCACGATATAGGAACAATGCCTCTTAAACATCTATGATCGAGTACTAGTAACCTACGAACATCTACTCTTAACGGCCATGTTTCACAGCCATAGAGTAAGACGGAGCGAACCACTGCGCAGTACACTCGTCCTTTAGTCAGCAAACGGATATCACTCCTACGCCATAAGTGACGCAGGTTGGCAAAAGCCAATCGAGCTTTCTGTATCCACGCTGAGACTTCGTAAGTCACCAGGCTATCAGCACTGACGAGACTCCCGAAATAAGTGAAGCGGTCAACATGCCCGACTAATTCACTCCCTATCACTAGTTCAGGTGCCGACGCAACCCAATCCTGAAGCAACATTTTGCATTTCGAATGGGAAAACCGCATCCCGAACATGCTCGCATTGTTGCTTAAGGTAGTCAGAAGACTCTGCATTTTGTCAGCGTCTTCACCGAATAGAACTATGTCATCGGCATATTCTAGATCAGTAAGCGACTTTCCTGGTAGAATGTCAACCCCTGAAAAATCTGACGAGCTTAATGCTAACTCTAAGAGGATGTCTACGACAAAGTTAAACAAGAATGGAGAGAGTGGACATCCCTGACGGACACCACTTGAAGTAGAGAATTCAGATGACAGTTCGCCATATGCTCTCACCCGACCAGTGGTGTTCGAGTAGAGTGCTTGTATAAGGTTAATGTACTTCTTTGGTACACCTTTCAATGACAGACACTGCCACAGAACCTCACGATCCACTGAGTCGAATGCCGCCTTAAGGTCCAGGAACACGACTATCGTCGGACGTCTAAATGTGTGTCTGTGTTCCAGGACTTGTCGTAGTGTGAAGATGTGGTCTATACATAATACATAACTACATAATACAACACTACAACTTAGTCAGTATCCAATAACCCATGTCTTCGTATTTAATCCTATTGATTTTCCTTGTTCAACATTCTTGATGGCCAGTAGCTTTATTGTATTAAATAGTATTAAATACAGCTGTCGTTATCATCGGTTTTCAAACTTAAAAGTCATGGAAAGTTTTTCGGTTGATGAAAAGGTGTGAAGACATTATCTTTATAGCGAGCTGACAATAAACCAAGGTGGTTCCAGCATTTTGACGTGTTACCAACCACAATAGACTGAAGCCAGTGCTTTGAGTTCTTTATCACCATTCTCCACTTACGGTCGACGCTGAATGTCAAATCATTGGCACTCGTCACAGATTCTTTAACTCGAACTGTTTCTGAAAATCGCTTATTCTTTTTTTGTGTGATTGTTTTTTTCAAGTTCCTGAGCACCATTTTCGCTTCCTTATCGAAGTCTTTGTGTTTCTACTTATAAGAATTTTCATGAACATAGCCGTGTTCTTTTTACACGCTTCGTATTTTTGACACAATTAAAGTAGTTGAATTTCTGATTGGTCCTCTGTATTAAATTATTATTGTCATGTTCTGTTACCCTTGTCCAGTTACTATTTTTCTATTAAGAGAGCAATGTTTTAGTTTGTCCGCTTGCGCTGTGTCGAAAGACAAGTTCAATACCATTTTTCTGATTAACTAGACAAACACGTGTGATAGCAGTTTTTTGATATACTGTTTGTTTTACGCAATCAAATTATTATAGATAGTTGGTATACTGGATTGATGTTATTTCAAAAATGGTCTACATCTGCTTGGGATAGTATATACTCTTTATTCATCATGATAGTATATGTATTCTGACCTTAGTTTCCAGTCCTTTTCATTCAAAAAAACCTGCGGTGCCTACTTGGCATGTTGCCCCAATGTGAGTATTTTTATGCTTTTTAGTATCCAATTCTGGGGAAAATTTGATTGATTTTTAAGTAGAACCTTTGGTTATCGTGAAGAAACTTTTCAGGAAACCATTTCAGAGTTTCTCTTGACTTATAAATCTTCTAAAATTTTCAACCACAATAAATCCTAGAAAAGTTTTACGGAAAACCTGGAATTCCAGTGAAGTGTAAACAAAGTCACGGATTTGTAAAGTTTCTGAAAATCCTTTAATTCTCTTGAAGACACCTGAAATTCCGTCAAAAATGCATGTTTTTAAATATTTATTTGCTGGATCAGGCGCAGCGAATTCGTTGAGAATTCCTTTTTTACTAGGTAGTAATAGTAAACCTATATAAATAAGTTACATCAAGAAATCAATCAAATAAATTTCCAAGGCCGTCGTGCATTCGTTCGCAGTTACGTTCTAGCAGTTGTTTATAGAACGCGTCTGTGTGTGATGATCATTTCGCAACCACTATCTTCGTTCTCATTCATAGCTTTGCACATTAAAAATCTACACATTTTAGTGGTTTATCTATTCGCATATGGTTATGTAAGTGTGTATCCACAGTCAACTAAAAAACATAGATAATGGTGAAATTTAGAAAAGTCCTAGAAAAAACCGTTCCTTTACTTGGTGTTCAGACAACAGAAAATTCATTACAATGTCGCTCTTTCATTCAGTTCTGAGTAAGTAGTGCTGATTTTCGTAACATTTCCTCATGAAGCAAAAAGTTTTCAAAATGAACGCTTTTACAACCTGAATGTCTGCTTCCAGTCGAAGTGAACATCGATCAGTTTGATTTCCTCTGAAATGTTACTTGGGGCTTTATTTATTAAACGTGTAATTCACCCGTAGTAAACACGAGATTATGGAGCTTGATTATGCTTCACTCCCAGTTTGTCTGAAGCGATAGACTTTAGAATTGTTTAGTTAAGTGACTGAGAATCAATTCCTTCTATAAGATGAAAGGTAACGCCATAGAATGTCATTAGTTCTACTGTTACGAAATTCGAGTTGACGATTCGATCACTGTGCTATTGTGGTATGGCAAATTTTACTGATGTAAGTACATACAAAATTTCGCGTTGTAATTCACCAACTGACTAATAGAAAGTCATTCGCTTCACTTTAACTGCCGCTGTGATAATTTGCTATTCGTTTGTTTCTTGTTACTTATAAGTGTAAGTTCCTTAAATAGAATATTCATAATAGATTAGTCTGACAACTACTGTTGAACATCTAAAGGAAAAACTGCAATTTTTCCCTCCTTAAAAGGATCTTGAGTGGGTATTCACCTGATGAACAAACAAATATCATTTAAGTATCTTTAAGGAATATGGAACGATGCATAAACTAACAAATTCATCTATGCTTTGACGACCTAGCCATCTCTTTTGAGTTTAATTAGTAAGCTGTTTAATAACGATAGCTCCGAGTTGTTATACAAGGATTAGTTCAGTCCTCTTACTGGCCATGTTCCACATCCGTATAGCAGAACGGGGCGAACTGCTGCTCAGTAGACTCGTCCTTTGGTTAGTAGACGGATATTCTGCCTATGCCGAAAGCGATGCAAGTTTACAAAAGCCAGTCAGAACTTCTGTATCTGTTCTGAGATTCCATCGGACACCGGGACTAATGAATCTCCAAGATAAGTGAAGCTTTCACCACACTCAACTGCTTCACTCCCTATCACTAGTTCAGGTGCCGACGCAAGACAATCCTGAAACAATATTTTGTATTTCGAGGCGCAGAACTACACCCTGAAAATTTTTTCATTATCTCTTACGATAGCCAATAGACTGAATTTTCTCAGCGTCTTCACCAAATAGAACCATGTCATCGCCATATTTCAAGTCAACTAATTAACCTTGTGGTAGAATGGCTACTCCTGAAAATTCAGATGAAGATAATGTTATCTCTAAAAGCATGTCTAAGAAAATTAAAGAAGAATGACGAAAGCTTATAGCCATGAAGCACACAACTTGAAGTATTCAATTCCGATAACAGATTGCCATAATCTCTAACTCGACCAGTACTGTTCTAGTAGAGAGCTTGTATAAGGTACACTTTTTAATAAAAAGTGCTGGCATAGAACCTCCCGATCAACAGAGTCAAACGCCGCCTCCAGGTCAAGGAATTCAACTATAGTGGGACGCTGAACTGTGTGTCTTTGTTCTAGGACCTGTCGAAGTGTGAATATGTGGTTTATACAGTCACGTCCAGATCTTAAACCAACTAGGTTTTCTCGAGTGTGCTCTTCACTAGCTCTAGTCAGGCATCTGAATAATATCGTGGCTAACATTTCTGACTTTATATTAGTTTTATGTTATCGCTGGCTGACTGAAGCTGATTCCAATGGGATTGTCACAAGAGGGCTTATTCCCTTTCTCGTAGATTGGGACAGTCAGTGATTGAGACCAGTTCGATGGGATTACGTCCAGTTCCCAGATCCTGCCTAAGGTCTCAGTCACTCTAACTGCTGAAAATGAACCACCATCCCAGAAAAATTTCCTGGGTAATTGTTATGCTCGTCACTTGATCTAACGTCGCCAACAGTAATCTGTAATCACCTGTTGCTTTTCCTCGCTTTAGATTGCCTTAAGCCTCTTTAACCTCATTAGGACTCAGGAGACTTACGTCAGCCTTATATTCAGGGTGAGTGAAGTGCATGAGTAACCGAAGTTTGGTTCAAAGCTAGCTGAACTGCTCCCTAAAGCGTTCTGCCCTTCGATCCAATCTCCTGGATTGAGAGAGAATAATAGTCCCATCCTTTTCCGAGATAGTTTTATTAACAGTCGGATTCCTAATACCGGCGTCCCTAGTAATTCCTAGTAGTTGTCTACTGTTACCTATTGCCGACAGGGTTTAGATATTAACTCACAGCGTGATGGTGAAGATGTGGAACAGCACATTTATACGGGAGAGAAATTTGTAAGCTTTGAATTACAGCACATACAAATGTTTCACTATGAGTTTTTGAGATCAGTGATGTGACAAAAGTTATTCGTTGGAAACAGTAACTTCAGTTGCAATGTCATCTTTTAAAGTGTTCTCAAGTGCATGTCATGGAGATTTTTTTTATGAAAGAGGTTTCACCAAATCCTACATGTCCTTCGTGTTCTACACTACCTGTTACCTAACCAGTAATGTAGTGCCTAAATTTACTGTTTGTAAATACTTAAAATTCTTTTCATTGCTGTTAATAATGTACTTGTTATGAAAATAAATCAGTGTCTGTAAAATAGTCTACTGCGTTGCTCAGCTACATATCTTAAAAGGATGCTACCAAAATTGTTTTGGGTCTACTCTACATTTGTTTGCTGTAAAAAAAGTAACTAGATTGAGCTAACCGTTTATCTTATTATTTGTATCGACTCAGTAGGAGTGATTAAACATCAAAAATAGTAAATGTATTGGCCTTATTTGGTTTTTACCAACATACAAGACATAAAACCAGCTATTCGTTTTAGCTAACGACGACATAGTAATGTTATCTCAATGAATGGAAACTAATATTTAGTTTCTACATACTGTGTTCAAAGTTGTCTGATTAAATCATTTTAAATAAGTGCCTCCCATGGATGTTTGTATTTTACCGGAATCGAAAACCATTGTCTACTACTAATTCCGTATTTTATCCATATGGTATACTTAAGTTTATTTTCTTTCATCCCTTAGAATTCAACCATTTTTGTGTGCTTCCCCATTAAACTTTGTATTTCTGTAAGTTATTTGATGAGACATTGCATTCGTGTGCTTTACAAATTCTTTATGTCTTATATTTGGATCCGATTAAAATGTTACAGGTGTGATAGCTTTTGCAAATTTGTTCAGAATTTTTAGGCTATCTCAATAATGGAAAATATAAGATTTAGAAAATTAGAGAAGCAAAGGGAAATTCTACGTAGCAAACAAAGGCAGAAATATGCTCACCAAGTTTTGTCACTTCAAAAACGCACAGAATGTGCTGGAATCAATAGTTATAAAGTTACTGACTGGGGAGAAAACAAATTTATAGATCAATCGTCTTTAAATGACCAAACAAAAAATAAGACTGATGTGAATTACTATGGTAAGTTTTATCGAATAGTATTTTAAAGGTTTTGAAAATATTTGCATTAATTTTATTATAGTTGTTGTCAATTGACGATGTATTGATATTTCTTCCAGCTGTTCAAATATCTCTTACCAAACCCTTAATGAAGCATCAAAAGTTTAGTGATGAACTAGATGGTTTTTATTTTATACTTTAAACTACCAGTTAATAAAACTGCCTCTATTTTAGTTGCAAAGTAAGGTGTTTCTGTTGTGGGGTCATTAATCTGGAATGAAATAGTAGTAAGTAATAACGGCATGACTACTTAATAATAATTTTAATTTACTGTAGAACAAAGATTTTAGATTATCCGTTGAGTAGCATCATGATTCATGGTGTCTCTGTTACTTATTATACGTCCTGTACTTACTCAGATTACCTGCTGGTGCTATTTTTTGTTTTAGCCCATTTCGGTTTTTGTTTTTCAGTTCCTCTCAAGATATGATGACTGTATAATTTTGGAAATTCTACTGTTTGATAAAATTTACCATACAGATAAACTTATTTATGCATTTTTCCTTTTTTTTGCAGAACTACAATTATTTTTGTTAGACTAAAAGCATTCGGTTGATTTATTGACAAATTCCGTCTATGTTCATCAATTACTCTTGATTTACTAACTCTTCAAATCAATAATTTTAGAGCGACTTATATGAATAACATTTCGCTAAAAACCGTTTTTCCTAAACAGCTCCACAATGCAAAAATACTTCCACTAACTGTTAGAAATGCTTAAATTGAACTTCTATTATAAATTAAATTAAGCTTATTACTATTGATCAGTTCTATTTATTTTTAGCCTCAGTTATTAGTTTATTTTCCTTTTTATCTCTTCTAAGCTTATCAGCATAAACTACTATGAAGTTCGATTTGAAGCTCTCATCGTTTCCATTTTGTGTGGCTTTAGTTCGCCCATGCTCAAATTAATATTTCACCCTATATAATGTTTTAGCATACGACGGTCCGCAATCCTATGGTACAACAAATCCTGACGATTTTCCTACAAATGAAATTCAAGTTATTCGTGTACTCACGAGACCAACTCCCACGGGACACCTAAGGTTTGATCAAGCAGTCAAAGATAAACCAAACTCCAAATCAGTACAAGATGATGTAGTGGATTTTGGAGACTACAAAAGTACTGATGGTTCGAACAATTTTACAGTTACACGGTCAAGTACCATGTTATCTTCTCTTGACCAAGATGGTTTTCTGGATTCTGCTGGTATGTTATCAATTTATACATAGCTTAAGGCCTACAATCATCATAATGGGTTTGTTTAGTGAAATACTCAAAAAATGTGGCAAAATTAAAAGCGGATTGACTGATATTTTTTCATGTAGATTTTCAAAAACTTTGTTGAGTATGAAGACAATTTCAATTACAAGCTGGCTATTCAAAGTATATTTAGAGGTTTCTATGATGCTTGAATTGAAATTCAGGACATTTTATGAGTTTCGGTTGTAGTAAATCTTTAATGTCCAAAAATAGTTGAAGAAGTCAAACCAAAACATACCCGTCACTCTTGAAGTTATCGGTTTGAGAAACATAACTCACAGATCGTTCTAATGGAAAGACTTTCGGATTTAAAAACTAATCATATCAAAAACCTAATTTTTTTATGTCTTTCTCAATGTTTCCTCTCTCTAGTTGTCCACTTTATTTTCTTTCTTGCCTAACCATGGTAATCATTTTTTGAAATGTAATAACATATAGAGTTTAATACCTCTCTCGTAAAGTGACGAACAACATATTCAGAAATGTAAAGCCAAAAATTTTAGTCATTCCATAAAATTCGTTAGTTTGTGGTGAGCAAAGTATCGCTAGTTTTGTGACGGTCGATTAACAACGTTTTCTCAGACTTCGTAATTTGCTCGTCTAGACAATCGTTACTAGATAGCGCCTGAGGGTTTATAAATCAGAAGGTGAACACGAAGTGTTGAATACCTTTATTTTGATACACCACAAATGGACCAGCGGACCACTAGTACGCAAGCGAGCGAATTGGCGAATCGGCAAATTGATGAATTGGTTAATAAATTAATAAGATCGAAATGTTCATGTATATACATAGTAAAATGTCCGAGTCATCGAAATACTTAAGCGGTTAGTATTAAAGCGAATAGGATGAATATGCACACAGATGGTAGGCAATGTTCAGGCATACCAGCTCATACATACCAGACAATAGTAAAAGCCATTGGTACATATAAGTTGTTGCTACAAAAATAGCTTGGTTAAATAATTTAATCCAAAGGCTTAACAAAATTAAATATGAGCAAACGCAAATGTATGTGGAGGCACTACAAATTAACTTAAATGCAATCTGATAACTTGTGCGTATGACTACACCAAATAGTTTATAACCTTGCGTACCATTTTTCTTGATTCTCCACTTACTGTAACAGTTTTATTTACAAAATGTTTAGAAAACTTTCTTGGCTATTCCAGAAGGCTGATGATTATATTACTTATCTTTGTAGTTTTTGCAGGAAATACAGGTATCATTCATCATTTCAATTAGTTAACAATTCTTTTCCCTTTTCATTCTTATTAGCCTTAGAATAATCTAATTGATGAGCATGATTTTAAAACTTGAAAACATCCGACAACTTGTAAGCTTTAAACGCGTCGCTCACTCTACTTGTATTTATATTTTTATCAATCACTGATTAGGTGGTTCCATTAATGAATTTAAAAAACCAGATTTTTCCGCAATCTCCTTACTTATCTCATTTTTAATATATGATAATTTCTGGTTGTACATTTCTATTGGACAGTAAATCTTGTAAACGAGTATAATTATTTAAATTTTATAATATTATAACAACAAAATATAAGCGATTTAGGGTAAGAAACAGATGTTGTGACTGATAAGATGTATTTATCACTAGTAGATTTTCAATGATCTCAGTCTGTTGATGATTTTTTTTACAAGAAAAACAATGCATTTTAGTGATTGAGTATTATTTGGTTGCCATTGGTCGACATATTAAAGTGTTATTGCATCACCATTGATTGAAACACAAATTATCGATAAAGTAACAATTTAAATTTCTGCGCATGACAAATTAACACTCAACTATTCTATTCTTTATACCTTTCTGGCTTAATTTCTTGCAATTGAAGCTTTGTTTGGGATAGATGCACGATAGTGTAATGATTTCAGAAAATATATAGCCTCAAGGTTGCTAATGTCTGGCTTAATCATATGTTTCAATGGCTTAAATATATTAGGTTTAAAATAATATTTGTACATTCATTCCATAAAAGTAAAGCCAATTGAGCCATAAAACGAATAAGCTATAAAATATATGCGTGAAAATGTCCGAATTTGTACATATTAATCCAAAGTACACAACGCCTATATGATTTTTCCTGACTAGAATATTTATGCGTTTTGTCATTGCAAGCCTTGAAATTATCTGACTGATTAAAAAAAGTCGCTGGAATTAATTGCTTTGTCGGGGTCAATGTTCATCAGACTTTTACATCCACAGCTTGTCACATTGTGGCATGGTTCCCTTGTGTTCTGCGAAAAAATCTAGAATGTATATCTGATCCAACAATCATAACAAGCTAGAGAATCCACAAAGGTGTGAATCGTTTGATTAATTGTGAGTTAAATATTTAATTTCACTGGTGCTTTTCAGATATTCAACGAGTACTGTTTAGAACAAATCCATCTTCATGTACACTATTCTTTCTCACGAAATGCTCTTGTGAATGAATTCTCCCAACTCTTCCCTGAATTTTTGTAAACAAACAGTAAAAATTTTTCTTTAATCATGGAAATGTTCGGAAATCTTGTATTGTTAATCTCATGATCCAACTTATCGGTGATCGTTTAGATTCTAAAGTCATGAACGAAAATTTCAAGACCAGATTTTGCAGTGATACATATATTGAGGGAGAAGATACAGCTTACTAACAAAGTGTATACACCTAATCTTTGGACTTCCATTTGTAAAACAAGCAGCTTATCAACTATCTTCTTTCACATGTCTTCTGGTCTTCAGAACACTGGTCGCACCACACATTCACATCCGATAGATTTCTCTACAATAGTATTTTCTGGGCGATACTCCTCTGAATACTACTTAGACACCATGTTGCAAGCAGTATTCACTACACTAGTACTAATACAAAAAATCAAACGCTTATAAATGATTTTGGATTTCAGTGTAAGTAGTCGTGCACTATTTCTTTCATGCATAGAGTATACATATGCCTGGTACCAGGCGTTTTGTGATCGTTTCATTTCCACTACAAGTACTGAACAGTTCTTTTCGATATATTATACTTGAATTTTGTAGAGAACAATGATGATGATGATGACGAACGAAATGAAAACGAGGAGTCTCAGTCTAGTTTTATAATTCAGAAACAAGCAGCAAACATATCGGACAATACCAATGGTCATTATTACATAAATAGCTATAACAGCGGTATACATTCCATCCAGTGTAGAGGCGAAAATTCAAATACCGGTAATAAAGCGGATAGTGTTGAGAAGGTTAGTCATACATACCATATCATACCAGTTTTTAGTTCATAAAAATTTTTGAAATTTTATATTTGAAATAAAGTTATGAAGCTGATCAGAGCTTTCTGTGATACTAATAAAAAAAGAAACTGTTTTATTTTCTGATTACATCAAGAGTGATATTTCCACAATAGAGCTAAGAAATACGATGGCATCGATACGTCTACCCAACACTTCTGTTTTCAACTACCGATCAGAACATTAGAAAGTTGACCTGAAAATCTATATTATTTTTAGGCGTAAAACTCATGCAGTCCACGACCATAGTTAATACGTTAGGTTAGATCAATGTAACATTAGCAGTTCCACAAAATATTTATTCAGTAAATGTTCATTATAAATATGAATGATAATTCGCCTAAAAATAAATATGAAAGTTCATCATTCCGATTTATACATGTATTTTATAACAGAAACCTGTTCCGTTAAAACCGCCTACATCTGACGTTTCAAATACTAGTTATTATCATTAAATAGCAATATAGAATTTTCAAGTTCAGAGGAGTCTCTGACCTTCTTCACGAAATCAAGGATTATTGTTTTTTTCATCATCATCTTTTTTCCATTGTTGTAACGCCTTCACGAGTAAATTACTCTATAAGTTAACACTGAATCCGTAGATAAGTAGGAGCGCGATAAACTGAGCCAATCAGAATCGACCCACTGAGAAGGCCATTAGAAATTGTCCTCAAGAACGATTGCATATCATTAGTCAAGAAATGGCTTTCGTTTGTAAAGAGGTGGATACATAAATGTAGCCGAGGTTTTGCTCATATTATTCTGTAGTCAAATAGATCTTCTCTCCCGTACTTTCCTTCGTGCACAAATAGCCATTTGAGCGATTAGAAGTTATCGCCTCCACATCTCGGCACTGCGATAAACGATTTAATTCCTTCAATAAAATGTTTCCAAAGTTACATAAATTTTTCTCTTATTGTGAAGTTTGTATTTGAAGGCATTTACGAGTTCTCCAACTATATTTTCAGAGTTTGGATCTGAATCGTAGTCATGAGAATTCTCCTATAAACCGAAAATTCCATGCTCCACAAGCTGTTCTCGTGAATCGGTCGGATATATCTTCACTTAGTGGTTCTTTGAAAAGTATGCAATGTACTAGCAATTTCAGTAAAGAGAACAAGTCAGAAGTAGAACATATTTTAACTACTCTCGAGAATTCTTTGGATTTATCGGAAAATAGCTGCCAAAAATTAATTTCATCACAGGTATTGGATCTCAATATAGATTACTCTGAAAAACCTAATGTTAGGAAATCTTGCAACCGTTCATCAACCAAGGTAACATTTTTAAAATGGTGTACTATCCTCAGTAAGAAATATTTCACAAATATATATTCAATCTATCAGTCATGTGGTTATTTTAGTTTTCTATTGTGTCTCCGGACAACATATATAGAACTCAATGTAAAATCAGAAAGTTTAGATCAATGAAACACTTCAGGTGACCTCTCAAGAGGTTATTGTTGTCTTACGTTCACATGGAAAGTTACCATACTCCTTAATTAACAATATATTTGGAAGCAAGTATAGAATGTATACAAAATAATTAGGGTTATTTTTCAAATAATTGACTTATCGGTGAGCTGTTATCACTGATAAATGAAACCATATTTTAAGATATTTTCATCACTGAGATAATTTTCCCTTTTTATATTCATGCTTTCCTGATAATCTAATGCTTCACCAATCTGACTTACACAAAAACAGAGATCGATTGAAATGTTCGCAAGACCTCCACCTAGAATATGTTTGTGGTGTTGTTTCATTCTCTGAGCTGGATGTTTAGGTCCACCATCTGGAAAGCTTATGTTTAGTCTATCTTTTTCCTAATGTATCCTTATTTTAACCACTGAATTCACTAACGATACACTTTACTTTTTGGATATTTTGCTGATAAAAATGCCTAGTTTGTTGATATGAGAATAATCATTTGTACTTTAAAGTTACTAGTTCCGTTATCGTTGATATCTTTCTATATTTAGTGGCTTTCCTATAAACCATTAGTATACGAAGTTATACTTTTTGGTGGAATTTTTAAATGCGTAGTTAATGGATAACTGTTCAGTTTTCCCTCATATGCTCTCATTTAGAAACGTACGAAGTTACGCTTTATTTGCATTTCGTACCAGGTTAAAGTTTTTTATCTAACATATCTTTGTTCTAATCCTGAAGTTTTGTTGGCGAGAAAGCACAGAGCTACTGTTAAGCACTTTATTCTATACAAATTCAGTTTATTTTAGAATATCCTGTCAGCTAGTGTAAAAATGAAGAGACCAAAAAGAATTTCCATAAAAAGTTTTGATATTCCAAATTTATATTGTTGCTTTCATTCATTGCTTCCTTAATATGTAGTCAGTTTTTGAATACATTGCTAAAAATAAATTTACAATGTTTTGCATATTTAGACTGACGCTGCTCAAGAATGTGAAGATTTTAGATACAGTGAGGCTCCTCAGTCCTTACTTTTAGATCCAACTGAAAACTTGGAAGAATTTATCATGAAACCTGCCCCTCAAGTAAGTGTATCGACTCATAACAGAACGGCCTTATATTGTCAATAATCTGGCTATTTTTTAATTGCAATTGTTATGATCTGCGATTCAGGTCACCTACAATACGCATCCGAAACCTTTGATCATCCGAAACGAGAGAAGAGGAGGGAAGGTGATACTGGATAGGAAACCGTCTTACTAACTAGATATACGACTGCTCATGTTAATTTACATAAATTGATCTTGGAACAGACACACGGGTATTGAGCTTAGCCGAATAAATGATAGACTGACCAGTTGTAGGTCCTCCATGCCTGAGTTAGACTTACCATGCAATTTCGGGACCATGTTACTTGTCTGGTTTATATCACATGTTAAACCAGGTGTGGTAAAATTACCGCGCACAAAATTATTCGTGAAAGCTGTTAGGAGTGAGATAGGTTGAAGTTAATTTATGACAACATGAAAAATCAACTTTTTATGCTGTCGCGAACAAAACGATCCCTGATTACAATAGGTTTTGGTTACAGTCAATGCATGTCAGTATCTTTATTAAAAGTTAGTTAGCATCCTGTACATCAACCCCTCCTGTTTCTCTACGTGTGATCATGAGGTCATTTAATGAAAAGGTTTACCCATTTCCGCCACAAATGCTCCACTTTGACTTCCAAAATTTTATTACTGAAGATATTGGATAGTTAATCGAAATCAGTTGAAATAGAACAATACTCAAGGGTTAACTTATATTTTCCTGATATTTGATAATGTTCAATAGTTCATCTTACACACTTTACTGCAATGTTAAAATTTGGGATAACTTTATATCATACTGTTCTGCTAAGTGATAAGTAATGCGGGTTTGTGTGAATAAACAAAACCTGGTCAGATTCTCGTATTTCTGTTTTTAGTTCCAAAAGATGGTACTGTATCGGGTTCTTAAAAAATCTCTGTGTTTTAGAAACTGAACGATAATTCCTAATAAAGGTATCAGTTCATCTTAATTCCTGGTGGTACTTCGGAGGCCACTAGGGTCCAATAATTGTTTCTCCTGGGAGTAAACATAAACGGAATAATTAAGATAACGTTTGATTGTTTTTAAATCAAAAAAGTCGTTTGTACCTTAAATTTTACTTAATTATACAATTTTAAAGGGTGTGACGGTGCGCTGCCGTATTACACGGGACAAACAAGGTGTCGATCGTGGAATTTTTCCATCATATTACCTTCATCTAGAAAAAGGAGATCGTAAGTTCTTCTTACTTGCAGCCAGGCGTCGCAAACGATCAACAACAAGCAACTATGTAATCTCTTGTGATGCCACCAATTTATCTCGTGATGGAATTAGTTTTGCTGGCAAACTTCGGTCTAACTTTCTTGGTACTCATTTCATTGTTTATGGCTGTGAACTGAAATCAAGAGACAATGAATCCTTGAATTCAGGGAGCAAGGTTGATGATTGTGGTAGAATAACGACGGCTACTAAAACACAAGATTTGCAGGAGCTTGCTGCAATCATTTACGTAAGTCTTATCATCAGTGTCTATAGTCTTAACCGTGGCACAGATTCTTAGCAATCAGTTTTAAATGAGCAGTAATATCCAACCGAAGAGTAGGTTTACAGATGCTCAAACAAAAACATCAGACCGATCCATAAATTCTTTAACTGGTGAATTTAACTACATCAGGTGACAGGGGGTTCAGGTTGGGTTGTGTGAATTAATCAAAGCTTATGGCTTGACATCTTAGATAAGGAATCTCGATATTGATCATAGTTGGTTTCATTTTATTCCATTCCTATGATATTCTTCATGTTTGGTTTCCTACTACCAGTTTGTTTTCTCAGTTTACAACATCTGTGTGGGTATGAAGTGTGGTAACTTGGTTCGAAATACATTGAGCCTAGTTCTACACTATATACCTTTGAATACCCAATGAACTTCATTGCAAGGATGTTGGACGATCACAAAATTATGAAGCATACAAACAATCAACAGATTTAAAGTAATCTTAGCATACCGGGAAAAAGCAAGTATCGTAGAAAAAATTCAATTGCAAAATACACGTCATCGCTTATGGCCGATATTAAGACTCAGTCAGATACAACGACGAATTTCGTACGTACATACATCAGTTCAAGTCACCATACCACATTAGCGCAGAGAGGCAGTTGTCGATTCAAATCCTTTAGTGGTAGAGGTAGTTAAATTACTAGCGGCAATAGAGAAGATTAGGGTTCGAAGATATTCTTCAAGAAGTTTAATCCAGTGAAATAAATTAAGAAAGAGAAACAAGTCATGAGGATTTCAGATTAGAATTTGAGAGAAGACAAATAATGGATACATCTGCGCCATTGCAAACTCTTTCAAGCTGCCATTCAAAGTCTCTGACCATCCGTAACGTTAATCACGTGGATTATCAATCGGGTAGTAACATGGTTGGTAACATGGCTCAGTCCAACCGTTAATGACTCCATGTACTGATGCTGTGTTTGGTTTGGCCGCCCCTTACTTTCTTTCAGCCTACCCCTACATCACAAAACACAGCTCGTCGAGGCAGTGGGTGGTTGAGCATACCTATAACATGTCTTAACCACCTCCATCAACGAAGATTCCCCATATCTTCCATTAATCAGCCATACTAGTAAGACTAAGCTGTCAAATATTGATATAAACTGTTATTCAGTAGGTTTTCTTCTTAACGTCTCTACTAGTGAATCAAAGTACGATTTGAACTATTCTAATACGAATGACTCGGTTACGAACTCGACAACCACAGCACATAACACATCGAAAATTAGCTGCTAACACTCGTAAAAGAATTAGTGCGGGGAAAACCTGTTATTAAAGCAGAAACGACTTGAAATAGTATGGTATTTATAGATATCAAACTATCCGAGTTTCCGTAATCTAGCTGATCTTGCGTGAAAGCGAACGAGATCGATCACTTAGAAAAATATACTGTCCCTCGCATGAAACAACACACGAAGTAGAGAAGTACCCCAGATTATTGAAAATATTGGTGCAAGAGAGCACGGGAATATACATACACCACAAAATAAAAATGAAATTGTGACGAGAAGAAGACAGAAAAGTAAGTGTAATGAAATAGGAACAATACATAAAAATTAGTGGATGAGAGTCAAAGTAATTATGGGAGAAACAATTTCTATAAGAAAACTTCAAACATGAAGGATTCTTACAGTTATTAAAGTCCCGCTCAATTTTGTGAAGAAATTAAAATAAAATTACGGTAGGAACGCCACTAGCTCCTGTTCTGAGCCTTGATTGATAACATATCAAGCCGCTGAGTTGCACCATACCTAGGACTTCAACTAGGAAGCCGTGATAGACCAAAGTCTGCCAGTTCTGTGCAGCTTCCTTTAACACCGCGACACCATATCATATACAGACCACCTCTCCACATTTTCCAACCAGTTCTATCGTTAGCAAATGATGCACAATCTGGAATTCTCTAAGATGATATCCGTAGTGCATATCGACGCCATGGAAGTCAGTGTTTAGAGATGATGACACCAACTGAATTATCGTCGCTATTCTCGGACAATCGATGTGAACCTCACCATCATTGTGCTCATTTTGAATTTTATGTGAGATGAGTGCATTGAACAATTTAGAAAAAGTTCTTAGCACTGTTTTAGTCATGACGATGGAAGTATTATCCACATTTCTGAGCCTAATTTGTGGTCTAATACCATTGTTAATATCTAGTGATAAGTTATTTTGTGCTATTCATGATAATAATAACGGTATCCTTCCATCAACAAAACAGCCTAGTAAGTATTGAATCTGCGTCTCTGAGTTCACAACATCAAAGCAGTTTTAACATATGAATTTCGTAAAACGATCGGATGATATATGTAGTACTTCAGTCAAAAATACGTTGTTGGCTGTCTACTTGTGTAGGTTTTACTGATGTTTGGATAGAGAAACACTTTATTGGCTAATAGGTTGAGGTTAAAAAGACATTATTTCTCTAAAATTTCATACAATTTTTTGTCAAAGGTTTTTTGTGATTGCAACTTTTTTGTTCCTTTACGTATGGGATCCAATATCAACACGTTTCAGTTCAAAATTTTGAAAATTCTTTCGCTTTATATGTACCTTTATTCATTTTTCTCAGGATACAAATGTACTGGGTTTCAAAGGACCGAGAAAAATGACTATTATTTTGCCGCGCTTAAATGCTAATTTTCACCACTTCTCCTATCCTAGAAATGTATGTTCTTACTGATTGTTGTGTTTATGAACTCAGCATCGATATAATATTTTTGTAATAACAAAGTTTTACGTAGGGAGTAGTATCTAAAAATGACGCTATTAGCATGCATAAACGTCTTTATCCCATTGAGATAGTCATTTTTAGTCAGCTTTTTCAATCCTAAAGTTGGTGTCATTAATCTTCAACTTCATTTGAATTCACTCATATATATTTAGTTGGAGTTCAGTACCACAATTCTACTACTGTCGGCTGGTATATTATAATAACGAAACGTATTGGTCGCCTCTGGTACTCAGTTTTATGTCTGTAGTGGTAAATAAATCCCTAAATTAAGATAGTTCTGTAGAGTCTTCGAAATAGATGCTGACCTGATTAGTTTGTCCGGACGCATCCAAACTGAAGACCTCTGTTTTCGTATCCGCACCAGATCACTGTTGGGTACGCTATGCTGCGCACTCGTCGCGACAACTAACTAGCTTAGATCACTCACTTCCCTACAGCCGAACTATCTTTCAAATATATCTTTGATCACCTTTATTTCTGACTCCCGGTTTAGCTGGGTTTAATATCCTCGATTAAAAGCATGTTACAGATAAAAGCGCTGTCAAGTACAGAATATCCTCATATCATTAACATTCCAAATACTTGTTCCTTACAGGAATAAAATAAGTGTCTAGTCACAGCTTCCCTCATCGTTTTATTTTTATTTTGGTGATAAACGCTTATATTTATGTCCCCAATAAGTATTCAGTTATCTGAAAAGTATGATGTGATTGATCTATACATATTTTGTTTCACATTCAAAGTATTAAGCGCACATATACCTAAAATAGTTCATATTTCAGTTTAGTTCTTTTTATAAACGTCTCCATTGATTCACCGTAAATCAAGCATGATTTTCAAATTAACAGTAACAGTATTGGATCTATTACTGCCAAGTATACCTTGTTCATTCAGGATACCGCCTGTCTAATCGATTCATGGAAGAGAAAAGATATGCAAAACGTTCTGCAACTACAAAACAAGAATCCTGTTTGGAACGAAGGTCAGTCATGGTATTTAGTACAGACATGCTAAATGCACATTATTGTATACTCGTTTTGAAATACAGTAGCTAACTGAGCACATGACTGTTAAGCACATGAATTCAATCCTGTTTGGGAAAAGTAACCCATTGTATTTGAATAACGGGAATTCAGCGAAGAAATTTTTCTTTTCGACGAGGTAAGTTACTTAAGCTGTTTAGTTGTATTTATAGCTGTTTGATAAATAAATATAGTCTATAGAAGGAGAGAAGAGATTGTATCATAAAGTGATCGGAATTTCCAAATATCGAAATGAGTTTGCGTAATGACCGAGAGGATAGAAAAGAATAGGAGCATGAAAATAACTCAAAATTTAAAAATATGAAGGATAATTTAGGCTTAACAGATGAGCAACTATAAATTTACTTACTTTTCTGGGGCAAATTACATAGGTTACACAAAGCAAATGCTGTCTAAACGCACATCAGTACACTACCAAGTATGATTTTTAAGAGAGTAGAAAAACTATCACCAGCGTAACTCAGGAGCATCTGATCAACTCTGGACACGTGGATGATTATCTCGATTGCGGATAACAGGTGTAATTAAATTCTTCTTTAGCCTCTCGGTCATTACGCAAACTCATTTCGATATTTGGAAATTTCTGTCAATTTATGATACAATCTCTTCTATCTTTCTACAGACTATATATATTTATCAAACAGCTATAAATACAAGTAAACATTTTAAGTAACTTAGTTCATCGAAAAGAAAGTTTTCTACACTGAATTCTCTTTCCTTCCATCCTGTTGGTTAACGAGCGATTAACTGGAATGCCTTACACGTGAATCCATCCAGTATTCCTTTGTTTGATTGCGTGTCCATCTATCTGTTTATCTTTCATTGAAATCGAAAATTGATTATTGTCAGATGTCATTACAAACCTCGAAGCACTGAACAACCGTTTCGTCTCAGTATGGAGCTCACCAGCAGTGTGCATCCACGACCGCCACAAATAGAATTCGGTCTTGCTCACAAACCGCTAGATCACTGAGATCGCACTTAGCTGCGTTGATATATAACTCCAATCAATCTACGTTATTGCGCGACCATTATCCATCGGCTTCGGTAGGTGACTGTCTCACATCCGACACGGCTGAATCCCACTGGCTACCGCCTCACTAGGATTGCGAGAATTCCCTCACAAAGATATCACTAGAGAACATATGATAATCGTCACTATAGAGTTGTACAGATTGGTGAGTTTCACTGAAATGATTAATCGACCAATGTTGATCATATTCCACCAATATAATGATGTATAAATATCTAGGATACACTAGCCAACTGATACTATGGATAATGTAAATTCATCTCAATACGGTGCAGATCAAACCAGTCTAATACAGTCCTGGATTTTCTTTACTACAATACAACTGGATATTCTATTGCGAGTATTATTTATTTTCCAATACAAGTGTTAGTGATTCTAAATGCTAGTCATCGAGTATATCGATTAGGAACACAGCACCGACGCATACATTGATTTGTTCCTCAAAATAATATTGTCTAAAAATAGAGCATATCTGTTACTTATCATTTACCGACCTGGAATAGTGGAAAATCAATTTCTTGCCAGAATATAATCCTGATCCAGTTGAAAGCAAACTGTGGCGTGTAATTATAAGAATGACTTTTTAATGAAAGAGCATGACTGTATAGTTGAGCATTTTTAAAATATGATGAACAATGTTTATGAAATTCATTTATGAATTCTCTTTGTTATGATACAATGAATAATCAAGCAATGTGATGAACGCTATTGTGTTCGATTTCAGTTTATTGAATGCATAAAACCAAATTCAATGAATCGATGACTACCTCAAATATATTCATCTACATTTCTTTCATGTTCATCAAACCACTTAGTATCAACACTTCATTTCCTTTCTCATTTTCATGGAAATCATGCCTGTTAAACAGAAAGTCACACTGGTGTTGCCAAGGCCATATGACTTCAGCCATTTGTCGGTAATCCGATTAAAGAGAAAATCATGTTTCTTGATGATATTCTGTACATACACAAGTGACGACTAGATATGTATTACGGCATGGATTTGCCCATTGATTTTCTGCAAAAGAGAAGTTTGTGCGAAGCTGCACATTCGACTTACCAAAAGTAGAAAACTTTAAAGTGGTTCGGAACAGCAAATCTCTTACTGTATGATTAAATGACCAACTCGAAAATCAGTTCTCTAAACTATTGCCATGAGATGCTAGTCATTTTCAGAACCACGGCAGTTTTTTTATTTTAAGACTCATCAGTCGTAAGAACGTAAACAGAATTTTCGTGTTTTAGTCAACATCCCTCGTAGTGACTATACTGTTCTAGAAGCCCTGACTACAGCCAATAAGCCAATTATCGAATTTTGATTGTAGCTCCTTATTCACTGTAAGAACTGAAACATTTCTCCAACTTTTTAGTTATTCGGATCTGCATGGTGAACAAACGTAGCTGGATAAAAAACATAAATAATAATGGAATATTCTCGAAATGCTTGTTCACCGTCATTTGAATACAGTAATATTAAAGACGTGGACGTATTAGGTAGAATATTCGCATTCATAATTATTTTTTGTGAGAACAATGTTCCGCTCTGTAGGACCCCGGTGTGCGTTGTTTCCTCGGAATTAAGAACCAACTGCGACTCCTTAATTCTTTTGAACAGATTTCCAGAAACCTATAATTCCTCAATCATCAGTAGAAACGCAGATTGTGGGATCCTGCTGATTACTTTGCAAAAGGTAACATCATTCACATACGCAAGTTCCCTGTTATCAACTGACTTCAACTTGTAAAGAAAAATGGGTTGCTGTGCCATTTTTATAGCCCATATTATGCGTTGATAAATAACATTCAAGGTTATAAGATTATAACGGTCTCCCGAAACTAATTCTTCTATATTGTGATATCCAGGTTTCCAAGACCAGTCGTTATGTAAATTGCTGGATGTTATCCATATCCTACTTTGTGGATTCAGTGATAACGTACACTCACTAAATGGTTAT